TCTGTCAACTCTTTATAACGTAACAGGGTTTATAAATATTTATAGAACAGAGCTGCTCATACACTGATCATAAAAGATTGGATTCATCACACGTAAGTGAAAAGACGTGCGGGGCTGGTGTGTCCTGGTACAACACATTATGTGAGAATGATGTTTATTCTGTCTCTGTCGCAGGCGGAACCATCCACATGGTCTGCAGGAACAAGGACAAGGCAGAGGAGGCGAGGGCTGACATTGTAAAGGAGACAGGAAATAAAGTACAGTATGAGTCACTTCTCAACAGAATTCTTTTTTTAAAAAAGACGAACAACCTTCAGTTTGACTCTGCGTCCCCAGACGAGACATTATTCACTGTTGTTAATGGCTGCTGTCTTCACAGGAGGTCTATGTCCACATCCTGGACCTGTCTGAGACCAAGAGAGTCTGGGAGTTTGCTGAGGCATTTAAGAGGAAGTACAAGGCCCTAAATGTACTGGTGGGTGACATCAGTTATATATTTGACAACATTATCGTGTAAACACATTATTACTTCCACGTATCCATTAGTATAAGTAAGAACAAATACTGTTTGGTGTTGTAGATCAATAATGCAGGAGCCATCATGAGCGAGAGGGAAGTGAATGCCGAGGGGCTTGAGAAGAGCTTCGCCACCAACGTCCTTGGTAAGTGGAAGGTCAGCTTTTGAGGTGTGAGGAAAATAATAAGAAGGGATGGAAATGAAAAGTGCTCTTTCTCTCCTTCTCGTTTGTCCGTTAGGTGTTTACATCCTCACCAAGAGTCTCATTCCTCTGCTGGAGAAGAGTGCAGATCCCAGAGTGGTGAGTCTGAGACACACAAGCTTCTATGTTTGTCTGATCGACACACAGTTTGCTTACAGGTCGTATAAAAGCTTCAAAACAGATGATGAGTGCTATGATTGCTAGGCTAGCTCTCAACGATAGCAGTGAAAACAAGAGATGGCCTGGATGAGTGTTATAATGATCACTGTGGTTTTACTCATAATGCATATTTTAATACCATAAAAAAATACTTGATTATTGCTGCTGCATAATATGGAAGCAATAATGTCTTTGATAAAAATGTACAACTGTATTAGCTGATCAGAGGCTTTTAATTGAATCTGCAAATAAATGAGCAACTCCAAGTGTCAGATTAATGAAGTGGAGGAAAGTGTTTATGGGACTCATTTTTCATTTATTTCTTGTATTTTTCTTATTTCTCTCCTTTTTGTGTATTCTTCAGAGACTTTTGGATTGCCTTCTTATTGTTGAAAGGCACAGTACAAATAAACTGTAATTTCCAACATTTCTCAGAGGTCTGTTCCAGCAAGAAGGGCCTGAGCCTGAGATACATTTTATTGAACATTAAAAGCAAACTTATGTGTTTAGTGTATGGATATTATAATGTTTCTATGAACAATTTGACTTGAGGCTGATGTTTGCTACATTTTGTGTTATACAAGCTGATGGTTTGGTAGGTCAGGCAGGGTTTAACAAGAAATAGATAGAAGCCATGTCTAAGCAAAAGGTGCGTGATACAGATGCAGCCATAGTAAAAACAGCTGAGAGGTGCATTGCCATGTTTATTGATATATTGCAGTATAGATATTCTGTATGTGAGGACAGACAATTAATTCTCTCTAAAGGCTTTACAAAGCAAATTTAAATATTCTGATATAGTCCCTGTTTCCTCAGAGCAACATTCACAAATTTCAGATTTCATCTGCTCAGAGTAAAGACTCTTATTTCTCAGACAGCACATTTTCAGTAGTAATATTAACCACTGTGATGCAAAACTCAAATTTTTCTCAGTGCCTTTCAGCAAGAACAATGTGTGTGTGTTGTGTGTGATGCTGTGTTTCTTACCTGGATACCACAAGGGGCAAAATCAACATTTTCAACATCCTCATAAGCAGCTCTCCAGGAAACTGGAAGTACTTCACCTCCTGCGAAGAGAAAACACATATTAGAGCACAGACATAAACTATTACATGATGCAAAGGCAGTGTATGAAGGGTCTTCCTGATTGCAAAATGACGATATCTGTGATTGTCTTCTCAGAATACAAACTCGTAACAGGAAAAGAGAATAGAGAACATATTGTAAAACGGATTTCCGCATGCAATTGATTTTTAAATTATTTTCCTCCTACATAAAAACTGAATAAACATTAGAAAAGCTGTGGGTCCCCCCGAGCACCTCAGTCTGTCACTGACTGTCTGCTGTTCTAGTGGTTGTTTACGTTCTTTGTTTCTTTGATTCTCCCAGAGGATATGAGAGGAGGAGGTATCTCTCTTTTTTACAGAATGAAAAGAAATCTTTTCAAACTTTTACTGCCTTCAGGCTAGCTGGACTCGTTTGGTGTGTGTGTGTGCAAGGCTGTGGATTTGGAACAGTGGTGCAGTGTTTGAACTTAATCCTAACTTCCATGTGCTAACAAGTTCAGGTGGCCTATCACCACGGTCATCATATTATTTTATGCATTTGCATGCTAATATTTGCTCAGTAGAACTCAAAACATGTATGTCCAAACAAATTTCTCAGTGGCCTGATCAGATTTTGTCAAACCTGTTACCTTTTTTTATTCGCCTGCAGTATAGGTCATCAATCTGTGTTGTCTGTGTTGGTAGATGGGACATGGACTAAAATAAAAAGTTCAAAGTACATTAAATAACTTTTTCTTGAAGATGGTTTCTGAATTTTAGGTTGTTGTTATCCAAGTGACGTATGGTCAGTGCATGAAATTAAATGGCCATGCAACAATAATAATAGCAGTGTTTAATCCAGTTGAAATTTAAAGACGAGGATTTTTGATAGTAATTTGAACGATACACAGAAGTGGAATGGCTGCTTTAAAAAAACACATGTATACATTCTCCTGGCAGCACCATCCCCCACAATGCAATTTAACATGATCTGCACACACACACACACACANCACACACACACACACACACACACACACACACACACACACACACAATGACCCCAGTGGACTTGAGGCTGGAGCCCAGTAGAAAAAACACTTCAAGAGAGACATAAACATACTGAGTTCATCCGTTAATGTGATTTACTATGAGGCAGTTATGTCTGATGTCCTCATTTATAAAAAATCTAAGAGAGTTGATCAACCTCCGCTGCTTCTGAAAGTGTTCGACTGACATACTTCAAGAAATACTGATGATGTAGAACAAGAGCTGCAGTTCAGTTAATTACTTGCTTTAGAAAAGAACAGAATCTTAAATTGAATGTTCTCTTCCGTGTCATCGGCAGAAATGATTATCAGAAAATGTTTCTTTATCTGCTTGTTGGCTGTGACACCTCTTCATTAACAGTTAATGAACAAGTAGTTGTGAATGGTGGAATGTGAATTAACCATTCTTCATTAATTTATTTTCTGCTTCCAACTCAGGTCATATTAATTTGATCGTTTCAATAGAGACTATTGTTATAAACTGTGTAAACTTAGGTAAACTTCCCCTCACAGTTCTGATGAAGTGTCAATTTAAAAAAATGCCATGAAAATGCCACTAAGATATTCCCGCCTTTGATTAGAGGGTGTTAACCTTCTCAAATATGAATCTCATGCAGAGATGACGTTTCAAACAGACTCTACGTCAGTGTTAACAAGATCCTCGACCATCCGTGTAGATTTTTTTCAAATAGATAAATGCGAGAAAAAGAAACAGAAATAAAATATTTCATCAAACAATAGTCATAATTTAGCATACATTCCAAAATCATCATTTAAATTGGTGAACCCTGCAGAAACCCTGCAGAATCCCTGCAGTGTGTGTTGTGTCTCAGCTTCAGGAGAGATGCCTGGCTGAGTCTGTTGCCATTGGTGATGATGGTTGAAAATGAATCCTGTGTTTGCACTTAATTTGATGTGTCACATGACCTTTACTGCCTCTTAAACACACACCACATCAAGGTTGACCCTCTGATACGACGCGTCTGCTCCGTGACGCCCCGAACGAGTCAATGTCCCGTAACATTAGAGGCACACTAGGGATTAAAACATACATTTGAGCCAACGAACAGACCTTGATGTTAAAATCTATGTGTTGTTTGTGTTCAGACCGAAAGATGGTGTCCACCCACCTGCCCCTGGCCTGGTCCCACAGCTCCCCCCAGGAAGAGCTGAAGTTAATGTCCCTGCTGGAGGAATTGGCCAAGTCATTCCAGCCTCACTGAGACACCGGGACACTCGTCATCATGTCCAGGACCTGCACTAACGTCATCAGTTAACACTGAGCCAGGCCGGGCTCCAGAGAGGATCTGCGTCTGTTTGAAACAGTTTCAGTCTCTGTCATAGAAAGAGACAAATGGAAAACCAGACGGACTAAACTCACCTGTAACAAGCTTTTTAACTATTTATATGAAAAATTTGTTTTTCTTACTGTGAGCTCGACCTTATAGGGATGAAAACCTTAAACTTTTCTGAGTGGTTGATAGTGAGGATGCTTTCAGTGCGTTTTATGAGGTTGATGAGGAACAAACACACACACACACACACACACACACACTTACACAAACAACCATCCAGTCTGTTGTTGTGACTTAATGAACCTTGTCAATCAGATGGGAATCTGATGTGACCTAAGTCACTCCATTATAAACTCATGATACCTGTCATGTGCTCAGTCTGATGTTACTGTCTGCATCATTAACATGCATCATGTACACTGAACAGCTATGTAAGTAACTCATGCATTTGCTATAGTGCAGCGTCTGTACTGTGCAGGTTGAGCTCAGGCTGGAGATGAAGTGTTCTCTCCATGAGCGATGTGCCTTACCCACACCACACGGCAGCAGCATCACTTGACATGTGCAATAATGTATTTATCTGCCCAGCACCTTTAAAAAGGCCTTTAACTCACTGGTGTGAGGTTGTCTTGTAAAAGTCTGCTTCAATAAACAAACATTACTAATGTTTCTGTGTCATAAAAGGAACACAATCAAATAAACATATCAGAATAAGTCCAATAACCTGCAGATCCCTGATGATGTTTTGCATGAATGAGTTTTTACTCACACTTAGAGTTGGGATGAGACCAGTTTGCCTATTTGTAAAAGTTCAGATGAGTCTTAAGAACATGTAAAGACTTTAAAGCTCCATCACTTGATACTTTTATGGCTTAAATAAGTTTGTGTAATGTTAAATATGTCACCACTGGTGATTAACCCAAAGAGAATTATACGTTTTATGATTTAAACCGAATTTTTAGTTTTTAATTTATTCTATTATTTTCTATGTCAATGTCTTTCTTGGCCAGAGAAGTTTCACTAGAGAAAACTGTTGTGCATATTGTTTATTCTTCTTATGTGGAGCATGTGTTTTGCTGGCTGTTTGCTGACACAAGTGGGCCACACTCCACTTGTAAACTAAAGTTAGCTCGTGTTGCAGAACTGTTTGCTCAGTAGCAGAACAGAGGTGCTGAGACAAGGCACTTGGGATCGAGCACATACGTCACATCCTTAAGAGTTTTTCTTGGAAAATTTGCTACAAGATAATGATGATCAACCAGTCAATCTCAGTTCACTGAGTGTTCATGAGCGTTCAACATTTTCTGGTTTGTAACTACAAGGAAATAAAGACTATTGGACTGGCACAAAGAAAAGTAAAACAACCACTTACAGTGATAATAGATAAATACTTTACTACAAATATAAATATACACTACATGATCAAAAAAACTGGAATGTGACTACAGTTTTGAAATCAGGCATTCCAATATTATAATGCTCTTTTTTTCCTCACTAACAATAAGGCAAGCATCAGTCTGACATTAGAAGATATTAGCCGCTATTTACACGGACGCTACATTGAACAAAAAAGGTTCTGTTTGATCCAAAGACAAAAGACCACAAAGTTGTGCAATTCAGTGCTGTGGGGATAGTGTTACGAGAAATCCTTGAAAACAGACGTGTGTGTCTGTGTGTGTGTGTGTGTGTGTGGAGGGGAGCTCAGAACAGGCAGAGGTGAAATGCAAAGGACACAACCAGAAGCACTGAGTGTCAAACCTCTAGACTTTGTATGTGTCCTTTTTAATAGAGGGAGTCCATTCAGATGCCAGCATGTATTGCTGCTTTTCATTACGAGCAACTGCCCAGTACCTATGTGTCTTCATGGTGGAAGGAAATTCAATGTTACACCAAAGAAACTTTATTAATATTTTTCAAATTACAGATGAAAAATAATTCTCACGAGGCATTCGAGGATTGAAACCATAAGTGCTTTGTTTGGTATCTACCTACATTAGTTTTCCAAGAGGGTAATGCTGTGCTATATGTTTTTTTAATTACCTCTAAATAAAGTTGAAGACTTAAAAACACAAAGCTGAAATTGTCACGCTCCAATCAACTCTCGAATGGCAATCCCACTGATACACCCCTGGATGGCTGCGACAGGACGTCTTCAATGTACGGACATTATCCAGAGGGGCTGTTTGTGAGAACGAAGACTAAGTTTCTCCTGCCAGCCCCCAAAATAAAAACTGAACTAAACTGGAAACATAGCAAGAAATCCTCCACAGGATTCAAACAAGATCTCGACAGCGGATCATTTACATCCTGACTCTGCCTGTTGCACCACCTCCGACCTGAACGCTCCGGAGAGTTCTGTGTCGTGAACTCGTCTGGGTGGAGAATCTCCTGCTGCATTGTTCACGTGTGAAAAGGAAAACTGCAGCGAAAGTCTGGACCCAATTGTGCAAAGCTCGTGTATGGCAACATATTCAAATTGTCTCCCCCTGGCTCACCTGAGATTATAAGGTGGAGGCTGGATCGGTGCTGCCATGCAAGCTGATTGTATCAACTTCCTGCCGCAGCATCTGTTAAGTTTATCAGGAGATTTCCGTCGTCTATCGAGAAAGCGACCAGTCTCTCATCACGCCTGATTCATCTCACAATTACACAACAGTGACGACTAACATGAAGAGCCCCCCCGCCCAGTGACAACCTACTGATGTAAAACCTCCTGAGAGAGATTTAAGGCCAGCTAGTGAAAGAAACAATAGAGGAAAAAAGAGACAGAAAAAGCCGATCACCTTGAACAGTGAGAGTCATTTCAAGCAAACTATCTACTGTACACATGTTGTAGAGCTATATACAGATGATTAGGGGGTTTTGTACATGTTAAACGGAGTAATATGCAGTTAGTGGGCCATAACAAATAGGAAGAGAAGGTAGTGTGTTTTTACAGGAAGGGCTGGCCGGCGATTTTACAGTGCAAGGTAATAAAAAATGACCTTTGTCAAAAGATATTGAATGTAAACACTAATATCAATTCTGTCTCTCCCGTAACAGGCACACGCACCGTTGTGCTCAGGGTTCTGTTTCAGATCAGCACAAAAAGTCAAAAGTCAGTCACATACTGACAGTGAAATTAAAAATTTCTTCACGAGAAGCAAAAGGAATGTGGAGGGCCAGAACACACACGCACGCACGCACGCACGCACGCACGCACACACACACGCACACACGCACAAACTGGAACATTCACCCAAAGCTGGCCAGGATGTAGTTGAAGATCCCAGGTGCGACATGGAGATGTGGTTTACAGAGGGGGGTTTCAATGAAACTGGAAGTGTCCGCAGCGCGGGGGGAAGCATGTAGTGGGCTGGGCCAATCAGCGTGGAGAGAAGCCTGTTGCTAAGCTACAGCCAACCACCTGCGTCATATCCCAGATCTGTGGAGACAAAACAGCCAATAAGAGTGACGGAGGAGGCCTGTTATCATTGTTGCACAGGCTGACTAATGAACACATTGTCTGGTCAGTAAAATGTCAGATAATAGTAAAAATGTGCAGCAGCAGTGTGAGAGCAATGATATTGATTCGAGTGGTTTTGGTTTGAGTGTCACGTAAAGGCTTCAGTGTTGGACACATGTAACAGTTATCTGGTATCAAAGAGCTGTTGTTGACCTTAACAATCCGGTCGCTTCCACACGTGACCATCAGGCCTCTGGATGGGTCCATGTCCATGTGGGCGATGTTGTGTTTCCCTTCGTGGAATGAGGCCAGTGGTGTTCGACTGCATCACACACACACACACACACACACACACACACACACACACACACACACACACACACACACACACACACACACACAAAGGCAGAGTTAGATCCGAGTTGCCCTCAGTGCTCTGAAAACAGGAGTGCAGTGTGACTAGGTTACATTTTACAGATTGTTTTTAGAGGAGCCCTGTACTCACTCTTCTTCTTTGATGGTGTCAAAGCAGGCGTCACACACCCGCACAGGGAATTCAAAGCCCATGATTGGAAACGTGGAGCGTTTGGAGCTGCATTTTCCACACACAGCTTTGCCGCACTTCCTGCAGTGGTGCTGCAGACAGGAAACACCCAAATGTCAAATTGACTCCTGACTGAGAAAGCGACCACTGCTCAGGACAATGATCACACTCTCCTACCTGTCTGAGCCCCATAGTCTTAGTGTCCCACATCTGCTTGATGTTCCAGAAGAAAGGCTGCTCACACTTCTGACAGGAGTCACTGTCTAACCACTGAGGCGCCTGCAGAGACACAGACACTTAAAGGTTAAAATTGAATATAAACAAGTGAAATAAATCTTTAAGAGCTGCAAAATATCATATTCACCTGGACTGCACGTAAAATAACTTAATTTGAATCAAACACTTGAAAAAATGTTTATAAACCGTAAATAATATAATTTGATAAAAGGGTATTTAAGAGTTTATCACACTGTAAATGTTTATCACACTGTAAATCCTGTATCTGGTTGTGTTGATACGACCTACTGACTAACCTCTTCTCTCTGGGTGTCCATGTTCCACACTGCCATGCCTCCGTCAGCCGAGCACGACACCAGCTGCCTCGTCAACTGGAGGTAGCGCAGGGCCTGAACGCGTTCGCTGGGGGCGTCGACGAAAGGAGAGAAAGAATAAAAAGTGATATAAGTTGAGATGTTCACAATGAAAACAAACGTCTGGTTAAAAACCCACATTTATCAATATCATCACTGAGGAAATATTTACAGATAATCAACACAGACTTCAGCAGTTCCTGAGCTCATCTAACCCCATGTGGTAGTTTAACAGGCACATGTGATGTATATGGTTCGGTCTAAGCAGCTCTTACAATCACTCATAGACAGTCAGAAATAAAAAAAAACCTCTGGAACACAATGTTCACTACCTGCCAGGACCCAAGCAGCAATCTTAGCAACAAGCTGGAGAACAGAGTCTTATACAGAGTATTTCCCCCCCAAGCATTGGTGAAGATTGAAAAAAATACATAAAACTGTTTTAATTTATCTGCTGTATTCAATATTTTTTACATTTAAGGTCCAGTGTGTAGGATTTCAGAGGATCTATAGGCAGGAATTGAAATATAAGGTTCATAATTAGGTTTTCCTTCATGTGTAATTAACTGAAACAATGAGACCATTATATTTACATAAGGATAAAAAAAACTGTTCCATGTTCCTACACTAGTCATGAACGGAAAGCCAAACACTGGCTCCGGAGATAGACCTTCTGTTTTCAGCTTCTCCTACTTGCGTTGAAGGGGAGGGAGAGGCGAGCGGTATAATCACTTGGTTGCACAACGCAACTTCACAGCTTGATGTCACTGAATCCTTCACACTGAAACTTTAGGGCTTACAATGCCCATGTGTAATGGGAAAATTGTAGCATAGCACTGATAAACCCAAAGAGAATGGTCCCCTGACTCAGCTGCAACAGGTGTCACTGAAAATAATAACTAATAACTAATAAATCCAATGTTCACCATCTGCCCTGCTCCAAACAACAGTAACTTCGTAACTAGCTGATAAACGTGGAGCTAGGGCTAGCTTATACATTGTGTAAGCACAGTGAGGAGTTAAACACATCATTGATCTACCTCAGATTCATAAAATGTTTTGTTTGTTTTGTTATTTTTCAATCTCTGCTCATAAAGAAGAGTTTAAAACGAGCAAAAATCTGTCTCTCTATTCAAAGCATTTTAATGAGTTGAATAGAATAAAAATACAAAGATGAGTGCGGGGGGGCACTAAAAGAAAAGAGATAAAGAACAAGTCAAAAGCAGATTTAATTTTTGTCGGAACAACAGGAGCGTGACAGCCCTCGTTTGTATGGGTGTCTTAGAGAGACAAGCTTCTGCAAATCCTGCAAAAGTACAAACACTCTGACACGCGTTGGTGCACACGGGTTTCATTGATAACTCCAGTAACAGGGGGGAGCTGAAATAAGAGTTGCCTTCAGAAAGAGAAGAGGAGACAAAAACAGAGTCGGCACCGTTGGACATCTGTAACTGACACCAGCGAGACCTGCTTCTGACAAGACAGCATGGGTGAGTGTCAGAGGGAGATAGAGGAGACACGGCTGTGAGGAGAAATGAACAAACTAGACATGTGCATGTGGGAGCCAATTTTCCTAATCAAATCTTTAAGCCTCCTAATCCCTGACAGAAACAAGAGGAGCTCAATCAACCTCCCTGCACGTAAAGAACACTGAACAACTTACTGGTGGCCCTGCAACAGGAGCGTCCGTCCTTTACGCCCCCCAATGTCCCACATGATGATGCTGTGGTCGGAGGCCCCTGAGAACAGCAGCCTCTGGACAGGGTCCCACCACAGAGCTCCTATACTTCCTGGAGGGGTCAGAAGACAAGAAGACACTTGTTAAGTTTTGTGACATTGAGCTGCTGGAGCGTGTGGAGACGGAGCGTCATGTTCTGACCTATTGGCTCCACCTGGTGCCTGCTGGAGGAACTACAGGCAGTTTCAAACACACAAACCTGGGACTGGCTTTAGATGGAGCTAGAGGACCACAGTCATTAGAAGATGCACTATGACCCGAGTCCAATGCCGTACCACATGTTAATGGAACTCGTGACGGCCACAACACTTTGACCTTTGACTTACAGTATATTATTAGTAAAGTAGACATTTAAACACTGAGTCTGGAAAGAGCAAGAAACATTCAGTGCAAATCAATCATAGTTACAGTGGCTTCAGAACGTATTGTGACTCGTTTTACAATGTTAAATGAATAACATTAACATTTTTGCCAATTAGTATCCAATCCATTAGTCAATTATGAGAAATGTTTACATATTGATTAAAAAAATGAAACAATAAATCTATTTTTCATTAAACCACCCAGATCTTCAGATCTCTACAGAGACGTACTATGAAGTTTAAATCTGGACTTTGGTTGAACAACTGAAGGAAACTCTAATCTTGTTGTTGCTTTGGGTCGTTCCTGTGCTGAAAGATGAAACATTTCTCCAGTCTCAGTTATGTGAACTTCATCCTTCCCTCATTCTGACCAGTTTCCCCGTCCCTGCTGCGGAGAAGCACTTCCTTACCATGAAGCTCACTGTACATCAGTGTAGAGAATTAGTCAGGTGATGAGCAGTGACTGCTGTTCACTAGATCTAGCTCTTCTCATCTACATGTTCTTATCCAGTTACTTAGGCCAACTTTACAACGAGTCCTGGCTCATATAGTTCATATCCAAGACCCATGTTTAGACCTAGAAGCTCATTAAAGACAAGATGTATTTGTGTTATTTAAAAGTGTCATATACATAGGCTATCTAAAATGTAAATATGAGTACTGGATATCACAAGTGTGGGGCCGAGTAGGACATTTTGTAGCGGACAGTTGACAGTCCGAACTGGCAGACCCATTTTGAAATAGATGATCATCTGGTGAGATGAGTACTTCCTCCCAACAAATTCCTGTGTGATAAAAGTCCAAAGAAGAACAGAGGGAAGTGTTTGTTTCACACAGAGCAGCACCCTTGGCAACTAATTTTGCTGTGGTATTCAGCTTTTTGCACAGCCACAAATACACTGAGCCCTTGAGAGGGGGTTTTCCTCAGTGACGATGATTCCATCTGAAGGCCTCAAATGATCAATCAATAGTTTAATGAGCATAAGAATCTGCACAAATACCAGATCTCAACCCAAACAAGCAACTATGGTTCTAAAGCAGCAAACGGGACGGCATGTTCCATCATCATCTGTACAGTTTATCCTATATCCTAAGGGTCACAGGGGGCTGGTGCAAATCCCAGCAAAAAGGGGAGAGGCAGGGGGCAATCTGGACAGATTGTCAGTGTTTCACATGACCGACCTACAGCAACAAACAACAAACAACTCTCACATTCACACCTACAGTCAATATAGAGTCTCCAGTTAACCCAATCTGCATGTCTGGTCTGTGGGAGGAAGCCGGAGTACACAGAGAAAAGACACAGGGATTCAAACCAAGAACTATCTTGCTGTGAGGTAACAGTGCTAATCACAGTGCACTGACACTCCCATCATAATCATTATCATGGAGAATAGAATTGGAATGGAACTGCTTGTGGAGCAGGGGTGTCACATGAGTCAAATCGTTCCCTGAAGCTCAGCTCACGTACATAGTGAACGTCAGTAAATGTTTGATTAAAAGCTCCTGTGGTTCACTGCTGTTAGACATGATTCAAACAGGATCCTGTTTTATTTTGACACTTTAAGATAAAGCCAGAGGCTTTGCTTTTTAAGCCAAATAAAAACCATCTGCACACACTTGCCTTCATTTCCCAAAGCAAGCAGCCATATTACAGCTTTCATAATATTTCTCCAAATTATCTAAATGCTCAAAATAAGATATTCTGAGAGGCTGTAACCTCAACATTCAGTGTTCTGCCTCCTGTGTTCTGCTGTCTGCATTCATCACTCACCATATTTGCGATTGTAAAACAACCCATTATACTCCCACTCTTTTCCAAGGAAGACATTCCTTTAATGTTGGATCAGTTAGCTGTGCAGACCTCCTTCTCCTGCAAGGGTTGCTCAAAACATGCTCAACAACTCAACCATTTGAAGGCGTCTGTTGGTTCCAGAAGTCAACGTTCTGGTGGATCCAATGACAAACTTCTTTCCCTCGTGCTTTGTTTCTCTCTGCTTGCCTCAGCACCATTTCCTCCCCAGTATAATCACAATTACAATACAACAGTCATTTTGTAAAAACAATGCATTTCTCTCCACATCATAATGCCTGTATATGATGATTCAAAATATATTTTCATAGACCAGCTGGTAAATCGAAAATTTCCGATAATTACCATAAAATGCTATAGTGTGCAGAATGCAGCGCCATGTGGAAACTGAACTGTTGTCAGACTTTGGCTTCAGCATGTGAATGCACTGGAGGTGAAACAATGACGATAGTGACTCAAATTGACCCAGTGTTATTGTGGTATTATATAAAATCAAATATTTATCAATAAAAATTATGATACAGCCCTGAAAGAATCAAATGTCCAACAATAGCATTGCAGAACGAAGGCTTTAGTTTATGAAATACGCTTTTTGATTAGCAAATATAGGTTTAAATAAAAAAAAGTTAATCAAACGTTCATGTAAAAACAAACATTATGACCAAAGTTAAGTGCATGCAGTACAACAACATGTAAACAAATCAAATGTCAGATGAGGAATTAAAATTACAACAAAACAAGCAGAATGGAGGAGAGGAGGTTGACAAATGTTACAGCTGTTGGGAATTTTACCATGGAATAATATGAAACCAGTGATGAGTAATGGGCACAAGGAAGGTAGAAAAAGTGCGTTTATGGGAAATGGTGGTGATTGAACTTGTATGACTTACTAACATGGCCTTTAAACCCTGACTCATATTAACACTGGATCACTTACAAAGGAACAATCAGGATAATTTGTTTTTGCTTTTTTAAAATGCTACATACCATGACATGTTTGTGGTTTTGTTGAATGAGCTTTTTTCTCTTATTATGAAGTCATGTAGAGGAATCTGGGTCATGTATTATTTATTGCAGCCACACCTGCATATGCAACATCCGAGTCTTCTGATGCGTAGAGGTGCATGAGACAAACAGAGCTGATTACTCACCTAAACTATGCGAAAAACAAATAAACGTGTCTTTACCTTCATGACCCTTCAGCGTGGTGATTGTAGAATACGTCTGCTTTTCCAGTTTCAATAGCGTGATCTGTCCTGAGTAATCGCCAACGAAGGTGTGTTGCGTCTCGTGATCGTATCTGAGAGTACAGTCAGGGCTTCAACTGGCTCCACACGTTAAAAAGACACTTAACTGAGTGGTACTAACGCACACAATGACTGAATGAAGGATACTGTAGGCAGGAGGCCCAGGCGGTGAAGTAGTGTCTCCCCAGCATGCTTCCACTCTGGGTGCACATCCAGCTCACACTCTTGTCATGACCAGTGCTCACCACCCACTCACTCTCCAGGGAGAACACCATATCTGACACACGGTTCTGGTGGGCTGCAAAACACACACAGATACACACATAAACACAAACACACACACACACCATCATCTAACAATTCAGTCATAAAATAATTGTATGCTGGTTGTGATTATTTAATTCATTTTTGAGAACATTTTTCTTGAAAAACATAAGAGACTTTCAAATGAACTTAGGGGTCAAATCACAATTGGGGCGAAAGTAAAACTATATTCAAGTCGAATATTATCCTACATAAAGTTATAATGTGTGTATTTTATATTTTACCCTAAACTACTTCAAATTCCTTGTATTTTCCAGCCTCGTGACCAAACCACAGCCATGAATCCAGCCTGTGAAGCTGAAACTGTGGTCCTCTCTCTCTTCTCCTCTACAGCTGCTGCTTCTTTAAAGTTTTTTCTTCTAGTATCTACTGAAGAACAGACTTGAATAAGATTGTAATTGCAAAAGACACTGCCACCACAAACACTGTGTGTTGCTGTATACTAATGCAACACAGATTGTGTTAAGTAATTAAAGTGAACGACAGAGAGGAAAGTTCTTCCAAACTAAATTCCAAAGTCATTTTCTCATATAAATTTATAACCTGACAGTTTTTTGATTACTGGACAATTTCCTTGTCAGCAACTCTGAGGAAATTTCTTAGACACATGTGAATGTGATCTGATTGTGAGTCATGTTTTTTAGCAGTTTGGTCTGGTTGATTCTCTATAACTGTAAGTGGTGGAAACCAGATGGAACATTCCAGTGGAGACGTGTGCTGTATTGTACTGTAAAGCAACAGGCTTGGTGGAAGTGAGGCCCTGTTCAGACCTGGTGTTAACATCCATCCTGGGTGATGTGATCACAAGTGGACAGCTCTGAGTGAATCTGTTCACACCTCAATTAATTGTTTGTGGCCAATGCTTTATTTATGTATTTATGTTAAACTTAAATTCAATATTGATTAAATTACAGCCTTGGAAATGACCATTTAAAAACATTTCAGCTCCTTATCTCAACATCATAAAGTTCATCAGAGGAGGATTTATTGCATTATACTGCTTCAGTTTTATCTAGGTGTACCTAACAAATTAGCAAGTGAGTGTAGATAAAAATGAAATCACTGTGTCATGGAAATAATTTTCCTGAACAGGAGAACCAGTGCATTTTACTGAAGAGCTTGAATTAAAAGGTAAAATAGGAAGGACATGGATTCAAATTATTATTGCAATGATATGTGGTAGAGGAAGAAAATAACTGGAACATTTATTCTTGCATCAGCAAGGAAAATATTACAAAATAAGCACAGCCTGTAAAGTTACATGAAGCTAGTTTCTCAATCATACATGGTCGTTAATGGACACAGAAAAATGAATTGCATTACCACAGCTGCAGTGCTTGATTATTGTTGCTGTAATGCTTTTTGTCTGTTGTTAAATTTACTTGACAGTTGCATGCAATTTGTTCTGATCTCAAATTCTCACCTGGATATGTTTTGACATGGCTCATCTTGTTGAAATCTTCAGAGATGAGAAACTCCTGGAGGGCAAAGCAAACACACACACACACAGTGTCAACTCTAAGAACTATTCTGCTCACATTTGGAGGAGCCCAAACATTGACACTGTGGCCCATTTTAAACCAGATATGCAGCTTCTTTTCTAACTCATCTGTTTGAACTACTAAAGGCTTGCAGCGAGAATATGAGGCCATTTGCTGGAGTTAGTGTTACTCACCACAACAGCTCCATTGTCCTGGCCTATGAAGATGCGTCTGCTGTCATGGTGGTATGACATGCAAGAGCATGGAGCTGAGGGAGAAAGACACAAAGATTCTCCATGAGCGGCGACCTCACTCGATACATGCATCGTATTGCATGACTGGAAATCTTTTTGGTCAACACACAGGCAAACATCCATTTGTCCTTTTCTGACAGAAACAGTGTAGTCGTACTTACAGGAGACTGTGTGGTAGATACTTGGCCAGTATTGACCGCTGTCTCTCTTCAGCCATACCCGAATCGTTCTGAGGGAACAAGTCAAAACATCCCATTGAAAGCTCTCTGCTACAGATTCATCTACTTTGTTACATGTTTACATGAGGAGCTGTAGATGAAAATGAGACCTTACACTTTGGAACTGAAATATCAATTGAAAAAAACTCTTTACCCAGGACTAGGAGTTAATCCTCATCTGGGAAACGAGCCCTAATACTCTTCACACACAAAGCTGGACTCTGATCATAAGGCAACACTGAGTGGGGGAGGATTGCACATTTATTAGTTTCAGTCGTTTCAGCTGGTGAACATTACTATTGAAACACATTTAAGAATTTATAATTCAGCACTTCTGACAATGTACATCTGATCTTTACCAGCTTCTAGTATTTTGTTGTAACTTTTGACAGATTTTTGACCATTATTAACATCTATTGATCTTAAATGGATATTAATACATGGGACAAGCTCTAGCAGCCCTAACCAGAAACAGAAACAGGACAACTTTGCAAAGATCATATGTACCAGCCCTGAAAGAGTTTCCATCCAACAACCTTTATGAGGAACCAAACTTAAGGTTTTACTTCTATTTCTGCAAGATATCTGCAGAGTGAAACAGGCGCTTTGAGAAGCAGCGTCTGCTTCAAATCAAGGAACCAGAATTTGAGAGTGCTGCACCTCCGACAAACAAACAACTTCCCTTTTCAATATCAAGTGGTTTAGACGTGCGGTGTTGGAAACTGCATCACATTTCTTCACAGCCTCTAATGTCCTTTCTCTCTGAATGAGGATGTTGCTTCTTCACACTTGAAACCCGAGCATGACAGCCACCTGTGTGTGTGTGTGTGTGTGTGTGTGTGTGTGTGTGTGTGTGCACTGATGTGACTGATGTGTGTCACGTTGCTGACTCAGAGAGATCTGTCAGGTTAAAGATGCCTTCAGGCTCCTGCTGAAAACATGGGGCTGATTTTAATCAACCGCTAAACTATTGACTAATAAAACCAAGTTGTCCATGTGTGATGTTCAGGGAGAGTGTGTACACACGAATACAACTTAATTGTTGTTCCCTGCTAAAACAACTCCATTAAACAGACTTTAGATAAATAAAAAATCTAGCAGACCTCACTGAGCACTTGAAGGCAGCACCTGGTTAGTTTGGGTTATGTTTACAACATTAGCAGGAGCTAACCAGCTAGTGAGCGTTGAGTTAATGTAAACCAACCCAACACGTTTAAACACTGATGAACACAGCGACCAATGAGCCCGAGCTGCGAACATGACAGAGTGGAAACTACATGTTTATGTCCGGTTTAGTTTTACGCAGGGTTGGTAGTTCGTTCCCGGATATTCTATGGAGAGAGGACCCTCTTGATGGATGTCTACCTCCCTCACCCTCCTCTGCTGAACCCGGTGTCACGTATTACAACAACAACAACCACAAAAATAGTTAGAAAAGGTTTCTTATCTCTCGATTCGTCGCTTTTTTGTGACCCAGTGCACCAGGGATTACAAGCGTAATGACCAGCAAATACACGGATCCCGCTAGGCTACCGCTAGCCTCCTCGGCGAGCTCACCTGTCCTCGCTGACCGTGATCACTCCATCCTCCTTCGGGATCAAAACGGCGATGTTGACGGCGTCCGAGTGGCCCTCGATCTTGTTGAGGAGAACCGGTCTGGCGGTCTGGGGCCTCGAGTGAATCTCCGCAGCCATGACTCGAACCGTGGCAGCAGTCAGTGTTTTGCTCCGGCTGGTTTCTCCTCCTCGGTCAGACCCAGTGGAGGAGGATCAGCTGACACTGGCAGGATTACCGTAATCAGCGCGGCCACTGCGCAACAACCGGATCGCGCTGGGATGAACGTGAGAGGATGGAGGTTCACCGGGTACCGTAATAACCCCTCACCGGCAAGTGGGTCAGAAGGGTTTCACACACTGCATCAGCAGAGAGACAGAAACGCACCACGAGTTCTTCCATTGCATCAGCTAACACCCTTGGATCCTTCAATAGGTTCAGGACGAATTATATATTTTGATCATCTTCTTATTCAGATGGAGCTTTGAAGTGCACCGGTGATCCACATGGGACCCCACGACTGAAGGCATACACAGAAAAAATCCTTTCTCTCTCTTTAAATATCAAACCAGGGGGATAAACTACATACACTAACTATACAGTGTCATACCATAACAACACGTTCAATCTCTTTAGTATGCCTCAGCATGTACTTCTGAAATTCCAGATCTAGATCTCTAGACCTGATGTTTGTTTGCAGTGTGAAGTGTAATTTAACAACATCATTTCCAAGCTCTAGTCGTTTTAATTTCCAAATCTAGCATTGCAATTCCAAACTCTTATTTGAAATATCGAAGCAGTTCTTAAACTTCAAGTTAAAGAATGTGAAATTGCAATCATAGAATCAGGAGTTCAAAATCTACCACAGAAAACAAAAGTTTTGACCAATTTCAAACTGATATGGAATTTCCAGGAGAACATTTTAAATCAAGCCTCTGTTAAACTCTATAATATAAAGTTTCACTAAGTAACCCGTTTTAGACTAGGGTTATTTCCACATACCTCAACTTTAGGAACATTAAATTAAAATTCTTGAATAAGGAGTTCAACATCTACAAAACAAATTATGTCCAATTCAAAATCAATGCTTTCTATAACTGAAATTCAAATTTAAGATATAAAATTTCCACTAGGTGGATGAAAAAGGTTGTTTTTTGTCAATTTCTAAATATATATTAAAACCTTTATTATAACTCATAAAATTCCAACACCTAGCCTTTGGACTAACAATTCTAAGACAAAAAAAATGTTGATTTCTAAATTTGAAAGCTGCAATTCAACAGTAAAAATATCACCGCTATAGTTGGAATTTATGTAACTTTTAATCATAAATATAAGTTCTGTCACTTGGACAGCCCTAACTTAGGAAATAAAACTATGAATTTGGAACTGACTTATTTTCTCATTTCAAAACTTGAAATTCTGATTTTAGATCTATGTTTATGTATCCATGTTCTTCCTTTAATAATTTGACACCAGTTTGTATGAGTCTGTGTGAAAGTGACAGAAGCATCCTGAACACAGCCTACCTCTCATATAGCCACACATGGGCGTCAATATAGGTGGTTTACAAAATATACTGTATAAATTGTTTCTGGATAAAGAAACACCATCATATATTTCAAATATAATTGTCAGAGACATGATATAAATTAAAACAGTACCCAAGTCACATGAACTAAATATTATTACTGCATTTAAATGAAGAGAAATCATTGGTGTTTTAAATATGTGTATTTATTTTCTCAAATATGAAGCAGGTATAATAAGAGAAGACTTCCTCAGTGAAGGAAAGAATCATATTTAAGTAGCTGAATGTCAAGTGTTCAAGGTAACTGAGGAGTGAAGCTTAGAATGAACTGGAGTGACTTGACTTCAGATGGAAAGCTTTTAAACTGAAAGTGATGCAATGAAAGAAAAAAAAAAGTAAATTATTTCAGAGTTGAGAAAATACACAAGTCTTAAAAATGTAATAAAGTCAAAATAAAAAGTATAAAAAAATTAAAACTTTTCAGAAAACTTAGTCTGCAAAACATTGTATAAAGCATGTTATGCATTACAGAAAATGAGAAACATAAAAAGCAATATTTATAACAAATTACATCATATGTCCACACTGTACATAAAGTCTACAGCAAAAGTGTGTGTGTGCGCGCGCGCKCGTGTGTGTGTGTGTGTGTGTGTGTGYGCRCRCRYRTGTGTGTGTGTGTGTGTGTGTGAGAGTTTGTTTGTGTTCATCATGGCAGTGTAGAAGTATTTTTTTTGTGCTGGCCTATGACACTACCAGGGGCTGTCCAGTGAGGGCTCGGCTCAAGGCTGGTTGATCTGGCCCATAAAGAGAATGGTACCTGCGGACAGAGACACGGAGAATTCAACATAGTGAAGCGCAAAAACCATTCAACTCCACAGTGAAGTGTATTTAACCACAAGTAACAAGAAAAATGACATTCAAATAAAAGTGTGTCACAAAGGTGCCTCTAATGTTTGTAGAGGAGCTGCTGATTTGAGGCTGATCTGAACAGAATATCTGTCTGAAGGATCCTGTGTGTGAGGGGTTTACAGACAAAATCTTAAGGTCACAGACTGAATCGAAGCCTCTCCAATATCCTCCCCGAGATTATAAATCATGGAGACTTGTGCAGTATAAAAGGAACGTCAAATAATCAAGCAGAACCTGTTTAAGCTGACCTGTAAGCATCACCAACCATTTCTTGTTTACTTTTGTTTAGAACTGAAACTTGGGAGCCTACAGCATAAAGACTTTTGTTTCTCATACCAGGGGGCTCATAGAAAAGGGAAACAAACTTGTGACAACAGTATGAGTGTGTGTCTAATCTGTCCTGTTGTATACACACAACGTTACACAAACAAGAGCAATCAGCCGACAAGGCTGATTATTTTAAAGTCACATATGTTCAGGTGAGTGTCTCTAAATTCCCAACTCTCTGGAATCACCTCTCAGAAATAGTTTGTTTAAACAGCAAGTGAGTGGTCCTGTGTTGTCTAATGTCTGCGTTCCCACGATTAAAAATCGTTTACATCTGTCGTTATGTCTGTGGTCTCCCTTGTTTATAAAATCAGATTTGAAAATCCTCCAGTGAGCCGCAGGTATTGTTCTGGTTTTCTTCCTAACATTTCATGATGGTGATATGTATACTGTATTTCTTCTAACAGTAGATTTTACCTGTTGGGTTGTGTCTGATGAGGAAGAGGAAAGGTCTGTCCACTGTCACCCAGGGTGGAGAGGACCGAGCCAGCAAAATGGCAGCTAAACAGAGAAAGCAAGCCCATGTCAGAAACTAAGACAGCTTCAAGGCGTTTTCACACAAGAAAGACCAAACAAAGATTCATGTCTTTATAACACTGTTTACATTTGATCCTGTTAAGTTTTTGTTTCACCTTGAAATGAAGATCACATGATCTGGTTCATTCCCCATCAAATGACACAAGACACTCTAAGCAAACACTCACCAGTGGCAGCAGCTGCTTTAGTTCCGTCCTCATTCACAACAATTTTGGCTTTCTGAAGGGCCTTGGATACATGCAAACCCTCAGCACCTGTGAAAACACTCGCTGTTAATTCTAGTTTTAGACAATAGAATGTGTTTAAGGGTATGCAGTAAGACCACTGGCCTTTATTAACAGTCTGACATTACTCATCCAGTTCTGTCCATATTCAATACTTGGGAGCATTTGCAGAGTATTAATATACCAACAATCAATCAAGTATTTGTACACACTTAGCCTGGTCAAAACTCCTCTTAGGGCTGTGTGGGCCTGTGTGAATACACCACAAGATGGCACTACAGCACTTAATTTAGTGTTCCTTTCAGTCCTCAGGGAGACAAATCAGCAGTGATGACATTTGTCTTACTCATCATTAAGCAATCGTTCATGCCTCTTACTGGCTCATAGCAGTAAACAGCCAACACCCATCTCAAATGGTTTTAGGCCATGCTCTTCTTCAAACTGTTGCTGTGGAAGCATACGATACGTTTGGATTTGACAATAACTTTCACTCACTTATGTGTCTGAAGTCAGCTTTGGCCTGACTGAACATGTCGGTTATTCCCAGTGCTGCAAGTGGAGCTTCCAAATCTACCTCTGCATCAGCAGTAAACCTGTAGACATAGAAATAAAACATGCACACACAATGTTTTTAATGTCTGTCGCATTCAGGCATGTACGTTTTAACAGTAACTTCTGTGTGTGTGTGTGTGTGTGTGTGTGTGTGTGTGTCTTACTTGGGAATGGCCAGCTGGACCTTCCTCATGCGCATCACTTCGGTCCAGCTCTTTACTGTGGCTGTGCTGATGTGTGGGATGACACGGGACAGTGCTGTGTCCTCATCAGAGGGCAGGACAATCAGCATGCTGATGGTGTTGCCATGATAGGGCAGCTCGATGATCTTATACTTCACCCCCTGTGGTGTGGT